TGGGCCTGGGTGGAGCGGTTGCGGCTCTGCTGGCGGCGCCGGCCGGAGGTCGACCTGGTGGTGCGCACGTGGACCTCGCTCACCTTGAAGAAGGCCACCATGAAGGGCTGCTTGTCATAGGGGCCGTCCCTGCCCACCAGGCCCGCGGCACGGGGGTTGATGTGGAGCCCTGGGGGGCAAAGCGGAGCAAGGTTCTCGGTACGCCCGGAAACGTCCGGCTGCAGCCCCACCCCGGAGTCCACCTGGCCTCCCGGGCGCTGATCGTCAAGGAGGAGGCTGAGGACCGGCACATCCTCGCATCCCCCGGGCTCCCTGGATGGCCCAAGCCACCACTCCTTCCAGAGTGCCAGGAGGCCGGCAAGGAGCGAGCCCCCCCAACTTCTGCTAGTTTTCTTCCTTTGTATTCAGCTTTTTCTTTTTCTCTTGAAAATGGTTGTTTCTTTTTTAAAATTTTACTGAAGTACAGTTGATGTACAGCGTTGTCTCAGTTTCTGGTGTACAGCAGGGTGATCAGTTACACATATTTTCCTTCCCACTATAGCTTATTACAAGACATTGAATAGAGCTCCCTGCGCTGTACAGTAGGACCCTGTTGTTTATTTTATATCTCGTGGTTTGTATCTGCTAATCCCGAACTCCTAATTTATCCCCCCTTTCCCCTCTTTGGTAACCATCAGTTGGTTTTCTGTGTCTGTGAGTCTGTTTCTCTTTTGTAAATAAGTACATTTGCATCACTTTTTTTAGATCCCACATATAAGTGGTATCATATGGTATCTGTCTTTCTCTGTCTGACTTACTTCACTTAGTGTGAGAATCTCTAGGTCTGCCCGTATTGCTGCCAATGACATTATTTCAAGGTCAGAACTCAGACTCTGTTTCTCCCTTTCTCTTTATCTCAACGCACCTTCTCCCCACCCCCCCTTTCTCCTCCCGCCCCGGTTCCAGCCTCTGAGAGCTGCCCTCCCGCGGTTGCTCTGGGAACCTGGACCACCTAACCACCTCTCAGTCCTTCCCAGGAGACCTCGGGTTAAGGCTTTGCTTGCCAAGAGAAGTCATGAGGGGACAGTAAACGAAGCCATTCCAGGGGGCTCGCCTGTAATCCACGGGGCAACCATGCCTGCCGCCGTAAAGGAAATGAACCCAAAAGGACTGCTGGCCCGACTGGGGCAAACTCACCGTCCTGCGTCACCACGCTCAGCTGAAGCCCCATGTTGTACTGCGGGGTCAGGACCCACAGATTGCTCGTGGCCGTGATGTCGAATTCCAGCCAGCCTTCTTCCGAGGCCCACACTACGCGGGTGTCCAACAAAAATAGGTCAGAGTCTCTGAAAGAAAGAAAAGACAGCGGGGTGAAGAGGGCCCGGCCCCCAGCCCGTCCCCGCTCGGTCCTGCCTTGAGGTCAGAGCAGGGACCGCAACCTGCTGGGCTCTGGCTGGTGTGACGTCACACAAGACACATGCCCGACGCAATCTGGAGAGAACTGAGCATGTGCTGGGACACCATAGTGCCACCAAAAGCTGGCTCCCACCAAATCTTTTCTAGAATTAAGGTATATTAAAAATAAATCAATCAGTGGTCATACCGTGGCTTACTTTATGGCTAAGGAACTCTAAAAAGAGAGGAAGTGGGGGGGCAGTGAGGAAAAGGATTAAGAAAATATTAAAATCAGGATCAATATATATGAACATCTGCTACGTTGTCCTTTGTTCATTTTTTTCTTAAAATTAGGACCTGACTATCCCCAATGTTAGTTCCTGTGAAAGAAGGAGAAACCAGAGTTCACATCCTCGCTCTGAGCAACCATCAGTTCTTTGCTTTTAATTAAGGCCTCTGAAAGGTCTCCCTGGGGGGCCCAGTCCTTTCTTGTGGGGACTGTGGGTGTGCATTGAGTGACTTTTAAGTTTGTCCCGGTGCTTCTGTGAACCACAGCTGGGGCTCTTTGAAGCAAAACGCCTCTCCTCGGGCCCCACGGGGACTGCTTTTATATTTTTGACAGCTTCCAACTAACATCACTCTAGGGGTTGTGGGAAGACAGAGGGAGGGACCCACATGCCATGACAAGGCGGTTAGGGATGGTCACCTAGGTGTGTCTCAAGGTCACTCAGCCTGAGCTGACATCGCAGGGTCACCGGCATGAAGTGGCCTGGAATTCCCGTGTCAGGGAAGGGGGATGTTTTGGCCACGGAAAGATTCAAATCCCTTGTTGCTGGAAATATTCTGCTGCGATAGCTCACAGGATAGAGAACTTACTAGATTTCAATCCTAAATTCAGTACTAAATTTAGGACGAGCATTGTAGTACCAGTATCACACAATTAAACCAGTTATAATGCGCTTTCATCCACTTCGCTTTAACAATCTTGAAAACAGCTGCGGAAACAGGCACGGACATGAGTTTACAGACACGTGGCCAAGGTCGAAAGCTAGTCAGTGAAAGAACAAGCTCGCAGAAAGGAAGCGAGTGGACTGAGAGACCCCCCTGACAACTTACTGCCTTTTGAGATGACTATGGAAGGCAGCCTGTGACAAATGAACAAGGCGTGTCTCCATCCCGCCAAACAGTTCCAAGGCCAGGGGAACATCTGAGTTAAAAACCTCTCAGAGGGGAGACCATTTCTCCCGTTGACGTGGCTCCGGGTCAGAAGGAAACGCTATTGTCATCGTTTCCACGCTTCGCGCAGGAGGTCGGGCTGCAAGTCGTTTACTCAGCTGCTGGACAGCGTCTGCGGGGGGCGGCATCCAGCCCTGCCTCTTTAAAGTGCTCTCTGCCACGTCTGTCCCACCCTCTGTTGACAAATTACCCCCCCTATTCCTGAGGTGACCGTGAGCAGGGAGACAGGGGGCTATTCATGGAAACCAGCAAGAGGGGACGGCACGTCCAAAGCTTTGAAGTGAAGATGTAAAAAGACATCAGTTCTGTTCCAGGAGGTCGGAGAAGACCCTCGTCCAGAAACAACACAGACGCGGAACAGCAATGTGGGAAAAGTAGTCCTGAAGGAAGTACAAGTCACGTTCCCATCAGAGGGGCAGCTTCCAAATGAAGACGCAGGGGGACCAGCGGGGCAGAAGGCTGCCCCTGAGGTGAAGAGGGTCAGGGTGTGGGCGTCACTGGTGGCTCGGAGTGCCTATGGGGCAGCCAGCACATTATTTTTCAGGACTTGTAACAAGGATGCAGAGAAATACAGCCCAAGATACCAGTGTGGCATACATGGTAGAAAGAGCTAGAATGAGCTTGCATTTTCAAAAAGTGGAATTTATGATCAAGGAATGTTACTAGAGAAAGTGGGGGCTGGGACACAAGGCCATCATCCAAAAATGGGAGAGAGAAAGCAGAGAAAAGGAAGAAAGAGGAAAAATGCGTGGATTCAAGGGGCAATGGAAATCCAGAGTGAAACCCGGGGCGCAGGTGGAGCAAGGCTGACAGGAGGGACCCACGACCACGGTGGGGAAGAAGAGGAGCCACGGAGTCGCGGGGACAGGTGGACACCGGAGCCAAGTTCCTGACTGAGTCCTGATGGGGTCCCCTGGGCTGTGTGGTGCTTCTCGGCTACACCCGCTGACTGTACACAGAGGACACGCTGGTCCTCACTGCTTAAGAGACCTGTGGGGTCCACCCACGCGGTGTCACAGCCCTGCCCGGAGCAGGAAGAGCTCTGGGGCTCACGGGCAGTGAGGCCGTCTCAGGTTTAGCCGCTTACACCTAGGGTGCTCAGGCCCCCTGGAGGGGAGGGGAGGCGAGGGGGAGCGTGGGCTTAAAATAACTGGACATGCTGGCTGGGGGAACAACAGGTATTTCCTGTGACCTCTCACCAAGCGAGCACTTGCCAGGAGCCTCGTCTGGTCCTCGGGGAGCCTGGGGAGGCAGGTCCTACTACAGTGTCCCTTTGACAACTGAGGGCGTGCATCCTGGAGAGGGCAGGTGTGGCAAGGTCACACAGGTACCGCATGGGGTGACCAGAGCCCAGGCTCTCAGCCACGCACAGCCACAAAGCAGAGTCAAGGAAAGTACAGGACAGAGGGAGCGAGGGCTCAGAACAAGGTCAGGGTCAAAACCTCCCACTGGTCAAGGCCACCGGCGGCTGGATCCGGGAATCACATTGGGCCGCTCAGGGCTGCACAGGATCAGCAATCATGAGCGACCCCTTGTCTCAGGGTCAGGGGCGGAAGGGGTGAAAGGTCACGCAGGAGACATCCTTCCAAGATGCGCAGCGCCTGCCCCTCCCCAGCCCCACCAAGCCCCTCCTCCCAAGCAGAAGGCCGTCTGTCTGGACCACCACTGACCCCCAGCCACACAGCCGGGGTGAGGAGCTTTCAGGAAGAATGACAGCCTCAAAGGAAGGACTTCGCTGGCCCCATGCTTCCAGGAACTCAGGGATTTAAGAGACACTCCTGAGAGCAAGTCACTGAAGCGTGGGTCTGGTGTGACCCACATTTGTTTACTTTTCTTCAGTGACACACGGCCTTGGTCGGCTGACTCTGTAGACGTGTCGTCTCAAACAAGATGCCCCTGAGTTTGCCACGTGAAAATAGGGGTTCCCTCCTCAATCCCCTTGGGCAGCGTCGGGGTCTGCTGCTCCCGTCCTCAGCACCTGTCGCTGCTGGAATCAGGCTCCCAGGGGTCTGGCCGACATGACTTTCCCTGATGGGACTGTTTGGACCTTCCTACTGAGAGACTGACACACTCAAGTTAATGTGTCCTGAGCGTAAATCCTGAAACAGGAGAGAGAGAGAGACAGTCCAAATGACTTTATTGTCAGTTTTGTTCTCCACCAACTCAGGGACCCCACGTTTCACGACAGATCTGGGCTCTGCCTTGAAGGATACAAGGATGCTATGCTCAGCGTCATCCCACTCGAGGGCTTGAGTCTCCTCACATTATGGGTGTCCCAGGCAAACAAAGCTCTTAGTAATTCCTGAGCCGAGGGAGATTTCTAGAAAATTTTCAAAAGTTCACCCTGGGGCTAGAGTTGACGGATCAGCAAACTGCTTCAAGACCGGGAGAACTGGTTCTCGGGGGCGAGGCCACCCCGTGCGGTCCCTCCCGGTCACACAGCCCCCGAGGCACCCGCCTGTGCCCCCGTGGGGCGGTGCTCCGTCCGGCCGAGAGGCAGGACCAGAAGCAAAGGCAATGGGCCTTTCTCTTCTTCGCCCCGGAGAAGCATCCGAGCTCCTGCTGGCCCGGAGTCACCTTTCCTGACAAGTGGCTCCCAAGTGAGCTGACCACTGACCATTTCACTAGGGAAGTGCTCTTGATAAAGTGGCCTTTTTAAGTCTGAAGCAAGCAGATTTGTGAGATATTTGATAAGGGGAATCCATGATCCTGTTTCTTTATTTCCTCCTCACAGACTCCTTTGCCATTTCTGTGTCTGGACTTAACAGTAAATGGAGGCACAAGATAACTTTCATCTGCTGAGGAACCAAGTTTTCAAATAGAATGAAAGTTGAAGGCAATCATTTTAGAAAATTCGAGAGTAAGGCAAGGACATTACTTCTCTCTTATGCAATGTACTGTGCGTGCAGGATGACATCTAGACATTCAGCAACTAAAAAGACAGGGAAGAAACAGGGTATTTGAAAACCGAGCACTACAAGTCAGAGTAAACTGCTACACACACAGACACGCGGATTTGAGTGACGAGGGCGAATGAGCACTGTCACCATGTAATTAGCCAAGCTCCCGCTGAGCTCCTGCCACGGGAATTTACCCAGTTTGCACCTCATGGGCCAGCCTGGCATCAAGAGAAGTTTCAAATCTCAAAGGCATCTTAACTCCGCAAGGGACGGCTCACCTTCAACAGAACAATACACATGACTGTGCTGTCGGGATCGCAACACAGCTCTACCCTTACACCGGTGCTCATCCCGTGCCTGCTTTTCCACCTGTGAGCTGCTCGCAACCTCCAGAAGAGCCAAACACTGTCACCACCACCACTGGTTTACAGAGGAGGACACGGAGGCACAGGCGGGTTAAGCAACTTGCTCTCACTCATTCAGCCAGTGTGTGCAGAGCGGGGAATGGAACCCGGGCGGCTTGGCTCCAACGTGGCCCACGCACACGCTCTGCAATCACAGCAGAGGTCAGCCTGCATCAGAACCCCCGGAGGACTTGTTAACCACAGACTGCCAGGCCCACCCCGGAGTTTCAGGAGCAGGGCCTGAGTATTTGCATTTCTGATGGATTCCCAGGCAATGCTGGTCTGGGGACCACACTGAGAGCTGCTGACCTCCGGCACTCGCCTGCACTCTTTAAGGATGAGGAGAATGACCCCAGCTGGCTTTTTAGGCTCAAGGTTGAAAGCTGTCTGCTCTCAAGATATCTTGCTCCT